AAAGATGAGGTTTATCTACAGAGAGATGTGTGAGGGAATTTGTCTGTCTTAACCAGAACCGACACGCTCCTTCTTTTCCAGCTTGGGCCAACGGTACGCTTGGTTGAGAATAGAACTTTTTACCTTGCAGACGATAGTTCAGCGTTGGTGTAGAGCTCTCCTTTCAACTCTTTCAGCGTCTCCGTGAGAACAGCTCGAACCTCGAGAGTCGTGTGAGGTTATCCAAACAGAAGTTATAATTCCCAAAATCGTCTCTGGATCAGCTTGATTCTAATTCAGCAGCATCCTGAATTCCAGCGTTCTGCATTCTGGAACTCCCAAACTCTCTGCATTCCGAATTCCAAAAACTCTGCTTGAACTAGGAAGTGCCAACATTTTAAAGAGCTCTACTTCCGGTTCATTTGAGAGCTTTTTGATTGGTCGATGGACCAAAGCAGAGGTGTGGTTTGTGATGTAAGGTGTTATTAAAAGTCAAGGAAAAGATTCAGATTGTTTAAGAACAGACAGAAAGATATCATGGAAAAACCAGACTTCGTGGAGCCACCTCTCCCAGTATCTCGCTGTAAAAGTTAAACATGACATTTCTTTTCAGTAAACTTTCAGTTGACCAAAACTTGAACTTTGACACACTTACAAACTTTGCTCATTGAAGACAGAAAATCAAGAAATGCATATTAACCTGATTTCTTCTTTGAATGAGGATTAAAAATCATTCTTACTGTTTTAAGTAAATAAAAATGAGTAGTTCACTTCAACATGTAAACATTGTTTGAACTACCACAATTTGATTATCAAAACATTTGTAAAATAGTAATGATCATAGAGAATTGTCTTGTTCCACTTGATTAATTCAAGAAAGAAAGTCTCAGGATGGGTCAACCTGTATCTCTGGATGCAAATCAATGAAATGACAGTTTCTGACCATATGATCCTAAGGTCAAGTTTTGACATCAGGTCAAGTTCACTACAACAGTCTTTTTTCTTTCTTGTCTTACTTTGAAAAACCGCAAAGGAGCAAGTCCGCAAAAGTTGAACCACAAAGTAGCGAGGGACTACTGTACTGTTAATTTGCTTGAATGCTTTTTGTTCCATCAGAAGTACTGAAGCAAAAACTTCCTTGTAAGGTCTTGGCAATGTATTAAAAATTGTAAATAAAAATACTGGAAACACATCAGAAAAATTGGAATTTGCTCAGAAAACTGCATTTGGTGAATTTCTAATCAGAATGTGCGTCTTTATAATGACTTGGTGTTTGTTTTTATCTAAATGCCTCTGCAGAGACAAGCTCCTGTCATTAACTGGCTCAGCTGTCTGCAGACCGCTTTCCATCCTCTGTCTCTCAGCAAAGACGACCATGTCCTCCTGCATAACTTACCTTACATCATCCAGATGTCCCGCGTCATTGACAAATGGTTGAACAAACAGGACCTGAAAAACAGGTACAGTACTCCAAAGCCATTAAAATGTGATGATGATCATATTTCATTCTCTTTCTTTTTGACTCTTGTTGTTGTTTGGTTGTACTTAGCGATCCTCTTCACACATTCATGATCTTTAACCTTCTGCACACCTTGATGCCTGCCATGGACTCCCGCTTTTCTGAAACAGCCAAGAATTTTTCCCTGGCTTTGGGTCATGCGGAGGAGGTGAGTCACGACTTGAACACAAGAACCTTTGACTTGATTTGTTGGAGTGACTTTTCCCACTGTTGCCCCCCCAGGAAGTCCCTCGATGGAAACGCTGTGTGCAGGAAACCGAAAGAGGATTCGACTCAGTTCTCTCGCTCGTTCTCAGTAAAAGAACAGCGCACAGAGAGGTGAGGAGACAGCCTGATGCATAATAAATTAATCAAAGATTTAATTTTGTTTTCTTCTTTTGACAGGTAGACGAAGTTATTGAAAATGTCTTTTTCTCCTTTAAATCCAAACTGAACGAGTGGGTGGATCAAAAGTCTTTTGGACTTCTTGTGAAAAAGGTAATGCAGAAATATATTTGTCAGTCTGTATTTAGTTAACACTTTGACATCGAGCGTGGCTTTTCTTTCTGCAGGTTCACTCTTTAGTCCCCAAACTGTGGTCTTCAAAGAAATTCTCTGAAGATGAGCTTGATCGTGTTTTTTCTCAGGTAGGTTAGAGATGTATATGACCTGCATGGTTAAACCATTTTTATCTGACGGCTAAACTGTTGTCTTCATCGTCTTTAGCTTTTTGAAGTTCAAGTAATTGTGTAAATGTTTATGAAACATTCACATACTGAGATCCATTTTTCTTCTGTACGTTTTTCAGCATCTTTCTTGTTCCACAATTTTTGTGCTATTTCAACAAATCATATATCAAAACGTTCAGCTCATTCAGGAGAAGGATGCTCTGACTTTTGGTATTGGTGCAACTTTAGCTTTTTGAAATATTTAGCCTTTTCTGACACTGTAGTCTCATAGAAAATGAATTGAGCTCATTTTACATCCTTCAAATCTTTAAGTCTGTTTACAGCCTTTTGCTGCTCCTTTCACATTTTGTTCTGCTTCAGCTTCTTTCAGCTTCCTTGTGAAAATTTAAACTTTTGTCAGCTACTTTCAGCTGTTCAGCTGTTTTGTGCTCATTTCAGGATCTTTCAGCTAATTGAAACATTTTTGATCTTCTTCTAACTTCTTTTTATGCTCCTTTCAGCCTATTTATGCAAATTTCTGCTTTTTCAGCTACTGGATTTATGCTAATTTTAGCTTTTTCGGATAATTCCACATTTTTTGCCCTCGTTTAAACTTTTTTCAGCCTAATTTAGCAAAGATGTGCTCCCTCCACTTCCTTCTGGTAATTGTGGCTCCTTTCTGCTTTTATAGCTACTTTTCAGTTGTTTTTAGGGTAATTTCAGCTTTTTTCAGATAATTTCCATTTCTTTGTGGTCATTTCTGCTTCTTTCAGCCTAAATGGGCAAACGTGTTCTTTCTGCTTTCTTCTAGTAAATTAAGCTTGTTCTACATTTTCAGCTACCTTTTTAGCATTTTGTAGCTAATTTCAGCTGTTTTCAGATGCATTTAAGTTTCAATACATTCACTGGACCTGGTAACGTCTGCTCCTTTCAGCCTAATTAACTTCTTTCTACTAATTTCAGCTTGTTATGATCCTTTCAGCTTATTTCTGCTAGTTTTAGTTATTTCAGCTACTATTTAGCTGTTTTATGCTATTTTAGCTCTTTCAGTTAATTCCATATTTTTTAGCTCATTTCAGCTTTTTCCACTTCCTTCTAGTAGTTTAAGCTTTTTTCTGCCTTTTCAGCTTTTTTCAGCTACATTTTTTTTCTAATTTCAGTTTTTTAAGCTAATTTCATAATTTATGTGCTAGTTTCTGCTTATTTAAACCTAATTCCGCAAATATGTGTTCTTTCTGCTTTCTTCTGCTTATTGAGTCTTGTTCTTCCTTTTCAGCTAAAATTCAGCATGTTTTTTTCACAAATTTCAGCTGTTTTTCAGAAATTTCTTCAGCAATAAGCATTTACACTGCATTTTCGCAGGAAATGCAACTTCTCCAGTTAATCTTAAATTTGAACAAAAAATACCAACTTACTACAGACCTTTGTTTTAAAGACTGGCCATTTACTGCAGTTTAAAAATAAGAAACTGACCTAAAAACCTGTTTGATTTCAGGTGACAGTAAGCACCGGCAGCTTCTTCTCCAACTACCTTCAGCTACTTTCTTTGTGGCAACTGAGGCGCAATAAACTTCTGACTGCAACGATCGAAGCTGATGATATGTAAGTCTTTCTTTTTATGACTGATACCAAACAAAAGTTTTATACCTGCATTAATCTTCTCGTATTTCTTTCAGTCTGTCTGTCACACCTGTTCTTCTGGACAAAGAGCTCCTCTTTCCGATGGGAGTGTTTACCCCTCCTTTTTTCCATCCCACCTACCCAAAGTAAGAGTAAAAGCAGTGCTGGTTATAATCATCCACATCATTAAGCCCATTTCTTCAAAACTTTATTCTTTTTGTAAACAGAGCCACGAATTACGGTGCAGTGGGTTTCCTTCTTGTCAAAGATCTTTTTCATCTGCTTGTGCCTGAGAGTAAGAGAAGTTCACATTTGTTTACGTTGTGTTTAACATCATGCTTAATGTCAGAGCTGGAAATGTGTTATTTCAAGTGCTCACCAAAACACATTCACATTACCAGTATACTACCACCTGTGGTGCAGATGTATTATGTTAGGGGTTTTCTCCCTACAAACTCTTTTCTTGAAGGTTGTTTCATCTTCCGATTGTTAAAAGATGCTGTCAGGTTTAGATCGTGACTCAAACTTTACAGAATATTTAACTGCAGAAGCTCCGGAGTGCCATAGATTTAAGTAACGTAATGTGTTTGAGTACTTTGTAACTGCACAATGCTTCTGCTTGTATTTGGATGTACTTCACTTTGTCAGATGGTACCTGCAACTCCTGGTGCGTTTGCTAAGAAAACAGCTTTAAAGAAGTCCTGTTGCATGCTCAATAATTCAAGTAAATA